TTTTTATTATAAGTAAATATATTTTTTTTTACATTCCTTAAAATAAATTAATAAATGTACATAATTGAAAGTATTTCATATTATCTTATTTTATACATAAACTTTAAAAATTTTTGAATGATAAAATTTAATGTTTGAAAGCAAGAAAAAACTTATTTTATTAATAAAAATATAGCTCATTTTAATTCAAAATCATTAATTTATATATATATTTCAGAAAAAAAAAATTCAAGTAAAAATAGCTTACGTGGCTTCACCAATGTGATAATCTTCAAAAAACTTGTCCTGCCTGATGATCCATAGCTTCATCCTCGTCAACTTCTCCAAGTCTAAATGAGATAACTTGAATGAGAATTTCTCGTTCCACCTAGCCTTGCCATTATCATCTAATACAATTAAGATATATTAATAAACGGCAGCCAAACTATAACAAACTTTCATTCTCAAGTCAAAAAAAAAAAGTTTTTACTTGCTATATTGTTTAATAATAGATAACAAATTCATCAAAAAATAATTTTTTTCACGATAACTTCACTGAGGGTCTATTTAGGATAGCTTTCTCTCGGATTCATTTTTCACTGTAACTATAAATTATTTTGGCTACTGTTTCCTTGATGCTTCCCATAACATTTAGAAATTTATGTGATGAAAAACTATTTTTTGTAACCTCCTGCAACAACTTCACAATTAATTTTATAAAACACTACAGCTGTTCCAGATAGGACTTTAATCTCTTTATAATCTACTATAGCCACTTTATCTTCTCCATATTATCAGAAAAGATTGTCTTATAATATGCCGAGCTAATTTTGGATTCATGATACAAGCTAAGCTTTGTTTGGAAGAGCATTATTATTGCTTCTTAAAGTAACTTTTTAGGAAAAAATTACTAAAAAAACTACATTAAGAAACAGCAAGAGAGCCATGCATCTCAAACACAGCCATAATGAAAGAAATCATATATCCACAAGCCTTTACAAAATTTCAAGATTTTTGATTCAGGGATTAAGTAATGATACACATATTTCATTATAATCATATTCTCATCCTGATATTTGAATGAGAAGATCTTGAACCAAATTTATTTATATCAGCATTTTTCCCTTGAAAATATAATTATTATGTTATATAGAAACTGATACAAGGAATTTCTTCAAGCATAAATTGATGCAGAAGAGAAGAGAGAAAAAATACACACCAGTTGTGAATTTACTTGCAGTAGTATGCACACCACATTCTATAATAACATGGCTCGTTGATCCTGCGGATTTAAATGCATAAAAACACTAATAAAATTAAATATTTTTTGAATCTCTACTGTCACCATTGATGGCTAAGTACTATAAGATCAGAAAGCTCGAACCTGGGAGCCTTGCATGCTTTAAGCCTTCTGCATTTACTAACAAGATCTCCAAAACTCCACCTGACATGTCTTCTGTAGTGAGAAGAAAATAGGAGGCTAAGAGAAAGAATGGAAAATAGATACTTATAAAGCTAAGGTAGTCTTGGGTTATTCTTCTTAGAGTTATTTCAATATTTAATGCTGAAATGAAAACTTCCGCGTTTCAGACACTATTTAAGAGGAAGAACTGATTAAGACTACAAACAGAAAACTGCTCTGATTATTTATTACTGTTTTTAGTTTTAAACGGATATTTGTGTTCAGTTATGAAAACTCCTTTCTTTAGAGAGAGATTATTTTGTGCGGACACCAGACGGAGAGAATCGTCCGGTTTTCTCTTTGTCTATAGTATAAGTGTAACTGCAACAGTAAAAGCGTAGCTCATTGTGCTTTTACCATAGACAAATGGAACACCGGACAGTTCTCCCGTATGGTATCCACACAGAATAATTCATCCTCCCTCTCTGCATGCATAGAAACTCCAGTGAAACAACTACTGAATAAATACTCATTTTTGTTTTTGTTGATGTCTTAGCTTTCACTCTGACAAACAAAAATGTAATATATAAATAAATGACAATAGTATAAATGAGCTTTATTGAATTCAAAACAACCTGGCATGGTAATAAACTCATTGATTTCAATAACTATGGGATGGAATTTCATCCGTGCAAGTTGTTTCAAGCTTGAACTTCACAATGTTTAAGATAATCTAACATCCTAAGATTCTACGCAAATGTTTCAAATAAAAAGATAAGTTGAAAGTAGATCACAAGAGTTGTAAAAAATTTTGTATTAGTCTTAGGATTATAATGTGTATGGCTGTCAAAATCAGGTCACGGGTCGGATTCGATTCAAACCCGAAAATAGTTGATCTGACCTGAATCCGCCCATTTTTGCAAACGGGTCAAATATATCTCTTTTTCTAATTTTTAAGAGTAATATTTTAATAAAATTGGGTTTAATTTCATAACATTAAATCAAACAGATTGTATTAAATCATTTGATTATAGACTGCTCACTCGATATTTAAGTGTCTTACTAATCTTAGAATTAAATAATTATATACTCATTGAATTGGTTTCATAAAGATGATTGATTTGATTATATGGATGCAATATTCAGAAATCATTTGATCCTTTAATTTATGTCCCAAAGCTTCTAAATATGCTTCAGATATTTGATTTAAGCTCATTTGTACACTAACATGACTACATTTGGTGTCATTGAACTCCTCCTGCAATATATCGAGTTTGGTTAGCTATAAGTTTATTGAAATCTGAATTTTGATTTAGAAATCAATTATGAATGTTTCCTCCATAAAAATTCATGGTGGACCAAATAGATTTCTTGAAGATGTCTTATATAAACATGTATTTTGGGAGGAATTATTATAATAACCTATTAAAATGTTAAATATATAAAATATTTGAATTAAAAGTATGTAATATTGATACGGCATCACAAAATTAGCTTGATCGGGCACGAATCTCGAGGCAAAAGCTAGTTGGAAACTACAAAAATTAATTTTGGGCGCACCCGAACTCTGATTTCAGCGAGCTTACAGTCAAACTGAGCGTCTCGGAAATACGAACCCAACGACACCAAGATCAACCCAATCCGAGCCCAAATGAGTCCGAATCAAGGGCTCAGAGCGCTGTTGGAAGGTTCAAACTGCAATTTGAGTTACCAAACGGTCTCCGATTTTGACGAGCTTATACTCGAATCGAACGGATCGACGAGA